ACAAGGATATTCGTGTCAATAAAAATTTGTACTGGAATTAAACTGCTATCGTAAAAATTGGAGATAACTACACCGATAAAATCTCTATACAACAAGGAGTCAGACAAGGTTGCATTTTGTCGCCAACATTGTTCAATGTTTACTCGGACCAGTTATTTAAAAAGGCACTTGAGAGACAACCATATGGAATAAAAATCAACGGGGAACTACTCAATGTGATTAGATATGCAGACGATACAGTAGTTCTATCAATATATTGAAGGTCTTCAAATTCTGCTTGATCGTATTCACGAGGTAGGAGAGGAAATGACATTAAAATAAACTCAAACAAAACCAAATTTTTAGTATTTAGTCGTGACCCACATCCCGATGCAAAGCTTCAATTAAACGGAATCCAAGTTGAGAAAGTTCACAAAATGACATATTTGGGAACTGTGATAACGGACCAACTAGATCCAGACATACAATAGAATAGCAATGACTAAAACTACTTTTATGAAAATGAAGTCATTTCTTTGCAATAACCATCTTAGTTTAGCACTAAGACAAAGAATGATTAAGTGCTATGTTTGGTCCGTACTTTTGGGTGCAGAACGCTAAAGAGGGGACGCTAAAAGTATCGATCATGAAAAAAATTGAAGCATTGGAAATGTGGGTTTATAGAGGAATGCTGAAGATACATTGGACGACAAGGTAAACTAATGAGGAGGTACTAAGGAGCGCTATAGTAAGGGGAAGTTGATATAAAATATTACAACTGATCCTTAAAGGCAAAATAGAGGCCGTAGAGGTGTAGGAAGAAACAAGTTTCTTGGTTAAGAAACCTTCGTGAATGGACTCAGATATCAAATGCAGGACAATTATTCCATATTGCAGAAGATCGAGAAGCTTTCTCAATGTTGATCGCCAACGTCGGATAATTCTGATATGACACGCAAAGAAGAAGACAGGAGTTATCTAAAAATGGATATGGCTGTGGTTTCATGATTTTGGGTTAATTGTCTCTAGGTGTTCTTCTTCCTTAAATAGTTTGTCTAAGGGGATATGGTCTATCCTCAATGGTTTGCATTTCATTGCCGTTTGAATATCTATGGTCCTAATATTGGTAAGCATAAGTTCCTTTTGGGCCCAAAATTTTTGTTGTAGAACATCGAGTTTTAATTTTGGTTCATTTCTGGAATATTCCAATGTATCGGGCTTTGACAGGAGTGTATTGGCAAGAAGCTTCTTTGGTACTCAACTGTAAGATCTGCTTGATACAGTCTTCGGTTTTCGTTGCTTCTAGTATGGTTCCTTCTCTGCAAATATATTTTCTGTTAATTCATCCAAATATTGAAAGGATTTTTCTGTTATGAGGAGATATGGTTTTATGGTTTATGATATCTTCTACGTTTTTCTTCGTATTAGGCCAGTAATATCGTTTTCTTATTTGGCTTTCTATTTCGGCTATTCCTCAATAGTTATTTGACCCTTCATGATAGTTCCTTTTTAGGTCGTATGCGTTGTTTTTAAACGTTTTTGTGCGCAAATTTCGTCTTCCACTTCAAATAAAATTGCATGCTTATTTTTCGGGTTGAGGTGCTCCTTGAAAAATTTTATAGTATCGGCTTGTAAATGGTCTTTCGATAGCTGATTATGATAACGCTTTTAATTATAAAACGTTTGGGCAATTACTGGAGGTCGTGTACTGTATTTGACGGTTTGATAAAATTTGCTTATGTACTACTGACTGCGCCAATTATGAATATTCTTGGTAATTTTTGTTTCTTCCGGATGTTGTGGGATCTGTTATCTGATTTTTTTAAGATATCGTAAAGTTTTCTTCTTGCACATATTGTATTGTTGTTGCTAAACTTCCTGGTTCTATTGCTCTAATAATGGAACACTTTGGTTCTCGTCTACCCGCTAGGAATGTTGTGAGAGCTCGTTAACGGAAATATTCTTGTTTGCTTCTTTTATGCTAGCATTTAAAGTATGTAGTTCTGTGTAGTTGTTAATACAGCTTAAAAGTCCCATTATGTATTTGTAAAAATACATGATAGATTCCGTTAAGCCTTGTCTCAGATTTACTAGGTCCCTTTTATGCGAATTTTCATCTCTCTGATTTACAAAATTTTGAATTAATGCATTTTTTATTTCATCCCAAGTTTCAGATATACAGATATAACTTCTTTTGCTCTACCTGTTAATTTACTTATAATACCATGAAGCAAAAAATTATTTTGTATGTTAGCTGCATTAAGTCTATCACAATAATGGATTAACTTTAATAAAGTCATGATATCCGTCAAAATTTGGAAGAATGTATACATTTTTTTACGCCAAATTGTGGAACTTCCATATTTTCAAAATTATCTATATTTATAGGTGACACTCTTAAATTATTTAATCTTTTTGTTCAATCTATCTCTTCACAGTTATTTAAATTTTTGTTTAAGTTAGCTTTTAAATCTAACTCTAAGTCAGCTAAGGCCCAGATGAGTCTGACATAAAAATCTTTTTCAATAAATATAAAGTATATAAATTTTCAATAAGTAAGTAATAAAATTCGATTTTGAAGACTTCTAATTCGAATTCTAAAAATTCGAATTTGCTCTTCTGGTAGCTCCCAATTGGGGTTGCAAGATTCCAGAATGTTCGGTGCTGATAGGCGGTAAATTCTTATTGAGTTTGAGCGATCGACTATACTGGATTCTAGAAGTTACTGTACTATAGTCGGACAATTTTCAATTAAAGGTGACTAATCTATAAATTGAACTAAACGGTAGCGGGCAACCATGTAAAATTTCAGCAGTAAATTCTTACCGGGGTCATTTTTATTGTGTATGTTTCGCCCATGTAAATAAGTGAAAAAGTAAGATAAATTTGCTCCCGTAACAATATAAATTGGTGCGATTCTCGAGTGTATAAGTGAGACAAGTTCATTGAATAGATTTAAACATCGTTAAACTTCAATCAATATTTTGCTGATCTATATATATTTTATATATATATATATATATATATATAAATATTCTACGTTCTTAGAAAGAATGGTAATGAGAGAAATATGATATTTTAGTTTATTTCTTCGACATTATGACATTATACATATGCATAAGCGTAGTGTGTTCTTTTTATTGGGGATATATTTATTAAAAGACTTTATTATTAACTTAAAATACATTTAAGCAAAATAAAGTAAATTTGAGACAAGTTTATTCTTATATATAGTATTGACCGATTAACGGCCGCTCATATACAAAGAGAAATTTTACAATTAATTTACTAGATTGGATTTAAAACACATAAATTAAGACTAATTTGTAACCAAAAAGATTGTTTTTCTCATTTTCAAGGAAAACAGTACAATTTTTAATAAAGGAACATATTGCATCTTAAATGTAAATTAAATTTTAAGGTGAAAATTTTCGAAACATTCGGAATGTAGATGCATTCTACACCTTTTACATAAATAAATAGTATTAGTACTTTTGCACATCCTACATTTTTGCACTATCATCTCTTTTTGTAATGTGGCCAATATTGTCGAATCTGGTTTCATCTGGTAAACCAAATTTAGGTTGACATCCATGTACTAAGTTTGACCCTGATGTAGCAGTTTCTTCACTATTATAAAATATAAATTATAAATATAAATCTATGTCGGGTCATGCTTTCTCTTATAATGTGCACTTCTTTATTTTCATCCTTTGACCAAGGCATATCAACTTGAAGCAGAGTGTAAACCAGATAATATACATATGCTAATAATTTTTTTTAAATCTTTTAAATGTTATTCATTTTAAAATCGTGACGGTTATTCTGGGATGCATAAATATTTGTAAAATAATAGAATGCTCTCAATTATTTTTTTATAAAAAAAAGAGTGAAAAAACTTCAATATCTCACTTGCCTCCATGGTTGGCTTTTATATTGTCTAAATATCAATCAGAGTGATGTTGAATTACTACTGAGCACGAATGAGTATCTGTTGTTACAACTTGAGACAAATTTGGATATACTATTTTGCCTGGTTTTTTTTTGACGTTTTATCTGTCGTTCAGGGAATATCATAATTAGAATCGTCAGAATTCCCAATCACTTGTTTTTCATATGTTCCTGCAATATCCGAATTTATTGATTCTTCACAAATAATATTATCATCAATGTCTTCTACATCAGAAACTTTCTAATCTAATCTCGGCGGCAAATAAACCACATTAAGTGACTCAGCATGTTCACAATCTGAGTCTTCTTCTAACAAAGCTATTAACTTTTTAGTAGTTAGTGCCATCTTCATTTAATATTTCGAGAATTTACAGAAATAAACAAATGCACTACTATATAAACGCATTCACATGATAATAGTTTAGCTTACTTCATTTTAATTTATATGAACTTCATAATATATTTTTATATTTATGTAAACCAATAAACACAAGGAAACTGTCAAATTAACTTAAAAAAAAACAAATATAACGTTTACAGCACACAGCAATTCTATAAATAGAGAATAATGTGTAATGACGAGATCGTATGTTAAACTTTCAGATTGTTTTTTCAACAGGTTGAAGAAAATTGGATTTTCAAATTTCAAAATCGGTATAAGTAAAGAAAATGTACTTTGTCGGCTACCAAAGGAGCAATTTTCTTCTTTTTTTTAGAGACACCTAAATATCGCATTTCCAAATCCTAAAGATGCTTTAGTTTTGTTATAAATAAATTAATTAAACAAAATAAGACTACATATTTTTGCTAGTAGTAAACAAGGAAATTTTAGTAATAAGCGATTGTTGTAAGTGATGTTTTTAGTACGTTTTAAAAATTTTAATTGTTTTATTAATATTTCCGAGCTATTTGAGAGATAAGACAATTTTTATTACTGGTGTTATCATACAAGTTTTTCAGCAAAAATCAGAATACCACCACTCTCATCATGTAGTGGTTTTTTCAAAGATCCGCCCTGGTCTAATTATTATGTGTGTTCTTGAAATATATTGTGTTTTTTATTTTTTTAGCAATGTCGACCGTTATATGATCTTAGGGAGAATGCTAAACAGAGAAAAGTTCTTCTTGATATACCAAACAATCCACTTTCGATACCATCGTTCCATAAACTCATATTGGATGTACGTTAAGAATAAGAAGAAAAATAAGTTTGTATTTTCCAAACCACTAATTTTTTGTACATAATCCAGTGTTGAGCCAGTTTAAGAAAAATCGAAGAATAAATGAACTATTATAAATATATTTTAATCGTATTGCGTTTATTGCTTGCGACAATATACATGATGTGATAAGAACAGATCTATGATGCTATATGTTTAATTATAATATGGAAGCAACATATGAGCTGTATTAATTTGTAATACTTTTTTGTAAAATAAAATTTTTAATATTTTAGTAACTGTTATAGCAGTGTTGTTCTAAAGCTATTTTCTTATGGCATCTTAATGAATTTACTATTTTTAAATTTATCTCGTAGCATTTACTGTTGACGTTTCGATTTCTACTTCGGAAATCGTTCTTCAAAAGTACAAAATATTAAAAAACTTAACAAAGCTCTGTTTTTGCTACTTAATAAAAAATTCTTCTAATAAGTTAATTTTATCAGACTCATTCATATTGAAAATTCAGACATAGATTATACATTTGTAAAGTAGATGACATTAAAATGATAATGGTCAATATTTTTTGAGGTTGCGTTTTCTGGGAACGACATTAATGGAAGATAGTTCATATCGATGACATGAAATACACCTATAACTTCTTCGGATCTCGAAGAGTTTATATTTTCAATTTTATATGAGAAACCACAGAAGTCCGTATTAAACAGCTTGCAATTTTACCTGCAAGACGCAAGAAACCTTGCCCAAAGGGCATGCGCAGTATGTCGTCAGCTGATTATTGCCTGGCAACTTATTGCAGTTGCGCGATAATCGGTTTGTGCCATTTTCGTGCAAGTTTTTCAATGCAAGTCTAGGGAATTTGTAGGAAGTTTGATTTTTTCACAATGTCAAATGTCATAATCACTGAGATTGAAACACGGAGACATGCCGATCAGCTGTTTCCTGTTTTGTTTATTATTTCCTTTCCCACAACCATTTGAATTTAGCTTGGCTTGATTTGTAAGATTATCGGCTTTTTCTAATTTAATATTTTAATTAATACGTTAGAATATCATCAAAAATTGAACTATCTTCTGCCCGAAGTACCAACAATGTCTTGCATAGTCTTGGCATTACGAAGTTTACTATCTATCTATCAAAATCAATCTATCTAATGAAATTAATTCTAAATATATCATTCTCAAATTCTAATCTAAATTTATCGAAATTAATTCTAAATCTATCTATCGAAATTAATCAATCTATCTATCAAACTAAATCGACTAAAGTGTTTTAAATAAACAAGTAATTAAAAAAAATCATAAATAAGTTAGGTAAGAGTAAAAATTTCAACAATAATTGCAAGCTGTAAAGTCGCACATAAAGACCCTGCAATAAATTGCATAAAGTTATCATGCAAGAAGTTGCAGCAAGTTTCCCTTGCAAGCTGTAAAGCGGTCTTTAAACAAATGTATCTCTGAGATACACCGCGACCTATACAGTACACTTTATGACCGCTACCTCTGAAGGGTTAATATGTCGGGATTGTATCAGGAGGTTTTTTTTATTATGATTTACTATGGGAGCACTAATAGGAGAATTTTACTGTCATCATTGCATTTGGTTGCCTTTTTAAAGACAAGTCACGTGCTATGTTTTTTCTGACGGGTATTCTTAAGTTAAAGTTGATTTCATGTAATCGAATCTTACAATCAAGTCGTACCAGGAACGTAACTCAAATATATTGTGAATATCATTTTAAAGTCATCTACTTTAAAATGTGAGTCATGAATGAGTCAGGTAAAATTAAATTATTAGAAGAATTGGTGTTAGTAAGTAACAAAAACAAATTTGTTTAATTTCTATTTTATGTTTTGAAGTGAAGGATTTTCGAAGTGGAAGTCGAAACGTTATATAAACGTATTTTAAAGTAAAATTGTGGCTTATTCCTAACAAAAAATAGTAAAATACATTAACCGGTGATTCGTAACCTTTTGAATAATTTAATGAATCGGAATAAATATTATCGAATCCTACAAAGAAACTTTCGATATACGTTCAACTTCATTTTAGATTACTACAATTTCAACTTGGAGGTTCAATTGGACGGTCAGGGTGTTCAATGTCTCAAAAGACAACAATAAATAAAATGTTCATAACTTCAAGGTGGCCAAAGAATTAAAATACGTAGGAGCCACAATCACCAACGACAATAAAGTAGAATGGGAAGTGCAAATTCTAATAATGGAGGCAAACAGATCCTTCTTTGCAATTCAACGTCTAACATTTTTTATTGTTTTCATCTTCCGAATTTTCCCGTTGGAGTTTAACGTGTTAAGAGTTACATAGGTCTTGAATTTTCAAAAAATCGATGTATTGTTTTTTTTTTTTCATATGAAGATATAGTACTTCAAGTGTATTCACTGTAAATTTGAAGTAGATTCGAGCAATATTACCTGAGTTATAGATATTTGAACATCGCGCGCGTCGGTACATGTGCGCGCTCTCAAATAAAAAACTTCAAACGCGAAATTTTGTTTTTCCATCGGTACGCACGATTTCTCGAGATCGAATCGACCGATTTTGCTGAAACTTTACACAGTTTATCTTTATAGTATTGTTTCGTGATTAAACGAAAAAAGATTTAATGATTATTAATCGGTGGACTAGTTTCTTGTTTATATAATACGAAAAAAATGTCTTAAAATCGATGAGAATCGTAAAAATGCTAAAAAATATGAGACGAAAATTTATTCAAACTTATTAAAAACTTTATTTTTTTTTTCATTCCGTCATTCAATCATGAAACAATACTATAAAGATGAACTGTTTTAAAGTTCCACGCGAAATCAATCGATTCTTTCTCTGGAAATCGTGCCTTTCTTCTTAAGCTCCCATGTGTGCCATACTGAAGGTTGGCTATAACTACAGCAAAATTACTCTCTATCTTGAGCTGTTTCATAGTATCCGAATGTGTGTCCATGCCTGTCCAGTCTCTTAAATTCTTCAACCAGGAGCATTTTCTCTTCGTCCTGGACCTCTTCTTCCTTCCACTTCCATTCCATTAAAAGTCGTAGGAAGTTTTTTTTCTCCTCTATAAATATGTCCTAGATAACTGGTTTTTTTCTGTTTTTTTACAATATTTAGGAGTTGCCTCTTAGTACCACATTCTTCTTAGCACGTCGTTGTTGGTCACGTGCACTGTCTCAAGAGACCTTCAGCAATCCTTTCGAAAACCCACATCCTAAAGGCTTCTATACGCCTCACTTGTAATTCCGAGAGTCCATGTTTCCACTCCGTAATAGCAATATGGAATAAATAAACGTTTTTTAACAAATTGGTATCGGATATCCGACGATAACGTAAAGTTTATTAGGAATTTTTTATCATTCGTTGAAATGCGCACCTAGCGTATTCTATACGAGCACGTATTTCGACCTCGTGGTCAAGATCGTTTGTTTAATCGAGCAACCAAGATACTGGAATCTTTGTACGGGTTCTATATGTTTGTTATAGATACGAATATTAATGTCGACATTTGGTACAACGTGTAACAGCCATTATTTTTGGTTTAATTGTGTTGTAGTCCCAATTTGTATTTGTATTGTAGTCCCAATCTATCTCCCTCTCTGGTTATGACATTCAAAAGTCGTTGTAAATCTTTTTTAGTAAATCTCCCAGTTCCTCACAGTTGCTGCTCATCCATTCTTCTTTGGCTTTTCTGATTTTGTTGTGGATGATTCTCTGGTTCTTCTTATATTTCTCTTCATTGTGATTTTTGTAAGATCTCTTTAATGTTCACAGTTCTAGACTTCTTTTGTCATCCATGTATTCTTGGTTTTTCTGATGTTGTCTTGTAGTTGTTTTCTTTGTATAGTTGTGATTGTTGCTTTGAAGGTGTGCCAAATACTTTCTATTGTTTTCTTCTGCTTCCGCGGGTGCTTCACTGAACTTTTCTTTGAGTGTATCATTAACGTGTTTTCTCTATTTCCAGCCTATACTATTGATCTTTAAATTTTTTCGAGGCTAGGTTTTATCTTCTCTCTGTATTTGATTTTCTTTAGTTTAATTGAAATTTTTAACCAACAACAGGATTGTGGTCGAACCGATGTCCGCCCCGGGACATGTTTTTAACTCCCCGATTCCATTTTCTATAACGTTTGTCAATTAATATATAATCAATATGGTTTTCTTATATGCGGTTTTTGAATTATCGCGAGGTGCTTTCCATAATCTTCTATTTGGTGTTTAAACCAGGTGTTTGCGATCATTAGATTTTCATTCTTGGCAAAATTGGACCAGTATTTCTCCTCTACATTTCTTTGGCCCAAACCAAAGTTTCCTACTAATATCTTCGGTCCGCCCCTTCACCTACTTTGGCATTATAATCTCCCATAATATTGTTTACAGTATTTTCTTTGTAATCTTCATAGCTGTTTGTTCTCCTTGGTAGAATTCTCGTACTTCTCTTTCCTGGTTTTTCTGCTATAGGAGCATATACTTGAATAAAGTTAATATTACGAGGAAAGGTATTAATTTGAAGCATAGCTACTCTATCAGATATATGTATAAAGTTCTTTGTACAACTTTACTGCTTTTCTGGTCAACTATAAATAACCACTCCGTTATAAATGATGAGGGATCGCCATACCAGCATAGTATATTACATGGTTATCGAGTTTGTCTGTCCAGATCCAGGCCATCTAACTCACTGACTCCGAGAATGTTGACTCCCATTCTTTTCATTCTCTTACGATGTTATGAGATTTTTCTTGGCATAAAAGAGAGATTTTGTATTCCAGGTTTCAATTTTTAACTTGTAATTTTTGTTTTCCACTTTCGGGTGGTTGCACTTGTCGTGGGGATTCGTAGCACTCCTTGATCATCTAAGGTCTTCCAGTCTGTCTTCTGCGGAGCGTTGAAGAATCCCTACTAATGTTCAGAACTCTTCCTCCACAAAAGCTGGACCGCCACGGTCCTCCTACCAACTCCTCCAAGAGTTCCTACCGAAATCGTGCCTACCGCATGGA